CCTCACTAATCCCATCCACAATTAGCCCAATATCCTTTTGAGGCCCATTTATCTCACCCTATAATCTCATCAACACCATCCATAACAGGCCCAATATTCTTTTGAGGCTCATTTCCCTCACCATCACCCATTAACCTCATTAGCCCCATCATCATTTTTAAAATCAATTTTATCTTGGTGAAATCAAATTATCATATCCAAACTAACAATTTAAAATTTGAATTGACTTATCCAAACAAAATATTTTAAAAATGATAAAAATTGAAATTAAAGTAGTTTAAATACCAAGAATTTCAAATTTCTTGAATTTGTAAAATTTTTCATCCAAACACACTATTATTTCTTTGTCTAATTTCCCCCCAATTTGAACAAAAATGATTTCGTTGTCAAAGGTTTACCCTGATAGCCTTTGTTACATGCTTCTCGTGTCGAGCAAAACAACATTGTTTTTAAATTATTAAAATGATGTCATTATAACCTAATATTCCTTGCACAATCAACAAATTAATAATAATAAAAAATACACACCAACACCAAGTATGACAATTTCATTATTAATTTTTGTTATGCTAACTTAAAGGGCAATATCAGAGTGTTTTAGAAAATTAAGAAACTCAATTGAATCAAATGGTCAAATTGTACCAAATAAATAGTAATCAAGGTTTTTTTTAGTAAGATTAAAAGAATTATATAAAGATATATAGATGATGAGACATTATTCTTATGTTTAAGTTTTTATTTTATTTTTTGTGCTATGGTCTATAAATAAAATAGGTTAAACATATAATTTAGTCTCTAAATATCTTATAGATTGTCAATTTGGTCCTTATATGTAAAAATTATTTCCTACACATGCAAACATTATTGATTTAATCTTTGACGTTAACTTTCTTACATATTCTTAATTCGCTCTCTCTATATATATAAGAGAGTTATAATTACAACGGTATAACTTTTATTAAGTGTTATACGCTCAATAACTTTATATTAATTGTGAATTTTGTAAATTTAACCGTTAGAGTGAAAGTTCATATCACTTTATACATGTATATCAATTTTTGTTAAAATTGAACAATAACTTGAAGGTAATCAAAGTGTTCATATTTTAGTGTATTTTGAAATGAATATATTACGTCAATTTTGTTTTATAAAAATGAAGTATCAAATCATCTTGGATTAATATAAAATTTTGTATATATGATCTAAGAGATATGAACTTTCAATCTAACGGTTAAATTTACAAAATTCACAATTAATATAAAGTTATTAAGCGGTATAATACTTAGTAAAAGTTATACCGGTGTAATTATATCTCTATATATATATATATATATATCGATACAATATGGGGCTAAAAGTCCAAACTAAAAATCACAAAAGAAAGAAACAACATAATTGTCTGCAAATAAAGGAAAATGAATCAATTAAGTAGAGAATAAACAATATGCACGCTATCAGAAAATTGAAATCCACATTTATCGAACCTATTAGTCATGTGATTTGCTTCTCATAAAATGTGATTACACTTCACAATCTTATCCTAATCCGCCATACTAACCACCTTATTCACAAGCATATAACAAGAGTGTTCTCGATTACACTTCTCATTTAGCAACTTGATTGTTAAACTAAAATTAAGTTCAACAATAAGATTATTTGAAAGTCCTTTATCTCTTATGATTTTCAATCCATGATAGATGACTCACAATTTATATTGGATCCCAACTTACACGAAAGTGCAAGAATAAAGATTCTACAATGATGGTAAACTATCCTAACACACATGACACATGTCATTTGGTCATGTGAAACTATCCCATCACAATTTAACTTATAAAATCCACCAGAAGGCAAAATCCATCTAATTAACACATGTGGACACATGTTAGAATACATAATTAACACACTTTTAATTTAATCCAAGAGATTAAACTAAGAATACACAACACTTATAAAGATCAAATTAAAAATATGTTACATGTATAAACATTAAATTAAAAATATGTAATAGAATTGCATCTATCATAGTCTAAATCAATAATATTTAACAAATATAAAAACTAATTTAATAATGTTTTACATATAAAAACCTATATGAAAATCCACCACACGTAAAAAAGAACTAATATTACATGTTTAACCAATGAAATATCCAATATCGTGCAAGAATTTATTTCTAAGAAACAAAGCGAGTAAGCCACCATCAGCATTCAGCAGCAGCCAACAAAAACTTGCTTCCTTCGTTCCTTCAATTCAATCAATACGCATCCAGAAGCCATGATATTCGTCGATGGCCTTCAATTCTCTACTCATTCATCCTCACCATCTCACCCTCAGGTGCCCCCTTTCTTCCTCTCTCTCCTACCCATTTTCCTGAAGTCAAAATGTTGCAATTTTATTGCTTTTTGATTAATTGAATGCATTCTATCGCAGTCTTGATTTGTCTGGATTACACATTCTCGTTGACTTATATATGGGAAAAAATCAAGTAACATAGCCACTAACAATACCACAAAAGATGTAAAGCATAAAATTTAGGCAATCTTACATGTTGGGTTAGGTTCAAATTCACTTTTTAAGATAGAGTCTTTCATAGTAATTGTTGTTAGACCTATCGAGTCACTGCAGATGTGAGTCTTGCAATTGTTTGGAGTGAGAGTGAGAGTAAGAGGTTTAGTTATTTATTTACTTATTTATTTATAAATCAGTGCAAGAGGGAGAGGTTCATTGGTATTTGGTGCCATTGGTTGGGATTTAGCCGTGTAAAAATGTTTCCAATGCCAACAGCTTATTGAGAAAAAAGCATTATCATGGAAGAAAAGAGAAACTGAGATCCGTTACTTTAGGACCTCTTTGCTTTTAGGTTTTGAAAGTCAAGTTAAAAATGTTTCCAAGCCGAGTTAAAAATCCATTCAGCTTTATCCGAGTTAAAAACTCACAACTTACATGAACAGGCCCCTTAGCCCTTAGCTTAATCTTCTTTATTGTCTTTATTGTTTATTGGATGATTGGGGGCAAGTTTGCGCCTTTTTTTCTTAAAAGATATTGGATTGCCTTTTTTTAATTTAAGGATGTGGTTGGTTCAATTAGTTTTGCCTAGAGAAAAATCTAAAGGCATGGGGAAATCAATTTTGTGTGCTAAGACTTATCACTTTGACCGTCTACACTTAGTTAGGAGTTAGGACCTCTTGTCAACAAATTGCTATGTAATTTACTGAATAAATGGTGCTATTCATATCAACGGCAAGGAATTATAGAAAGTATGTAATGAATAATTATAACTTATTATTTCTCATGCTATGCTTCAATGAATAGAGCTCATGGAAAAATGCATGATTTTACGTGTAATTGTTTGCATGATTGGTAGTTACAGGGTTTCTCATTCAAATATATATCTGATTTTAGAATAATTCGATGAGCATGTGAAAGGCCTGGCATTCTTTGCTTATGAACAGGGAAAGGATATTCTACTTGCTTTGCTGGAAAATCCCATGCTGGTATCAGCCTCAAGCTCTTTGAAGGCTAACCCAGAGAGGAAGTTCTCAGTGTCTGATGAGTCTGGTCCAGAGAGATCAAAATGGGTTTATATATTCCAGAGAGAATATGCTACTGTTGACCCTGCCTTCGTTGATGTAACTTTTAAGCCCCTTTTTGTCATTATGCTAATATATTACTCCAAATGTAATCATTTCCCTTTTGCTTTAGTGATGTGTAAGAGAAAATTCATGTAAAATTTTAAATTTAATTTTTAACTAGTTCATAGTTCATTGTTGTATGCAACTAATAATCTTTTGTATGCAGGCAATTGATACTTAATTGTTATGTAAGTGGCATCAACTCTGGAATTTCTTTATCCTGTCCCGATTAACCCATGAGTTCTTTCTTGCATCCGATCCTGTCCATTTTTTTGCCTTATATATTTCTTTGACCTTTTTTCTTTTATTTAAACTCCGGTTGGCCTTCCTTTCTGTTAGAAAAACTGATAAAAAAAATACGAGCAGAATCCATGGAGACTGTTTCAAATATGATGCTTTAATTTATGTTGCGAACTTTCTATTAAATCAATAACTCCATGCCATTACTGTTTTAGTAATCAGAGGAATTAGCAAATTTACCTGCATGATTGCCGATTTATATTTCAATTGATTTTTCTGAGTTTTGCTGTTCTTTGTTAATCTGCTATTCATGTCTTTTTTCTCCTCTCCCCGTATAACTAGTTTGTTGGCACTGATGAAGCGACGACATGTGTTGGCCTTGTTATTCGGAACCAAAAGAATGGAATGTAAGGCCAAGGGATTTGTTTCTATGTAGATTAAAAGTTTATGTTTTGCAAATGTAATTTCTAGTTTGTACTACTACCAGGTGTTCAAATTTTGATTTCATTATTTTTAATTTGATATTGCAGGACGTCAGTTGCCCATTTGGATTCACCAAAAATTGTAGAAATGGGCCTCTCTCAAATTTTATCATCACTTGTTGACAACAGTTTGGAGACTGAGTTGGATGTACTTTTCCTTCTCTATATTTCTACATTTTATGACGACCTTTTTTTCATCAATTTATTCCATGCCTCCTTTTTAGCTTAGCTTATATATCTTCTGAAAGAAAAAGTTGCTTTATCCACAATTGTAGGTGCATCTCATTGGGGGTTTTGAAGATGTCTCACTGCAAGTCTGGCCAGGGTCTTCTGCTTTGTTAGTGAATTTTCAATATGTAGTTTCCATTGAGAGACAGAATAATTATAGCTGTATCTGTTGAACTTTTGTGCAGCATGCTAATGGTGGCACAGTATCAGAAAGCCCTGTACATTTGGATGGTCATTCCTTTCCGTTGTGTTCAAAGATTGTTCACACTTTATGGTCAAGAGAGGAGAAGTTTCACATCCGAACTATCTGTGTTCTTGGACATAATACCAGAAGGGACTCCAATGGAAACACTTACCCCTTTTTCAATGGATTTGTGGTCAGCTCTTGCTTTTAAATCTTATCATTACACCTGGTTCATTTACAATATGTGATAAACCTCTTACTTATCATCACTATAAAACATTGACCTTTTAAAAGAATTATAGGTTGCATCTGAGAAGATAGAAAACAGACAGATGGATACTGGTGAAAAATATAAAATTATATTTATAATTGATAGCATTGTTACAATACCTTAACTAATACTTCTATTATTACTAATAATTAGGTGCAAGTTATCACAACAAATTTGTGACACTTAATAATGCATAATATATGCTTTTTATTTTATTCCTAGTTTTATATAAGAGATGATGACTAGTGAATTGTGAGCACATGTTTCAGTCATGCCCAAGTTGATGTGTCACTAAGTTCGTTAGAATTTGCTTTTTGCTGTAAGCAAAATTGTAACCAACTTGCGTATTATTTCAGCCTGATGGTCAATGAAATCATTACATCATCATTCAGTAAATTCTATCTTTGATTATGCTCCGCACAAATATTTCTGCTCCTTGCAATAGAATCCATTTGGACATTGGAATCCCTGTTCTGAGCAAGGATTATTCTTAGTATAGTCCCTGAATATCCAAATGGTTCCGCAAGTCTATGCACCCTAAAATATGATTAATAATCAAGTAACCCTAATTAAAGGAACCACCTCTTAAATTTCTTCCTTAATTAACTAACCGATACTACAATATATTCTAAGATAATCTAAGAATCTAATTGTATCCTAAATATTCTCTAACATACCTATTATACATACAGCATGCAGAGTTGGTTATTCTCTGCTAGTTTTACTTTTACCAACATACATGTTTAGCATTATCTTCAATCATCAATAGGAATACTCATTTGTTCCCTCATTTAAAATTTTTGGATAATGTCTGCAAAGGCATAATATATTTTGAATCATTAATGGGCAAGGATCTATATATTAACACTTTCACATCACAGCATATTTTTTTTACTGTTTGGATGTATTAACCATGAACATGCTATTTATACAAAAATAATCTTGATCTGGATATTAAGTTAAGAACACAACAACTGACACTTTCAAAATGCATATTGATACTGGGTAAGAATTTAGTAATACAACCACAGGAAATCAGGAATG